CTCAACAGTTCAATCCAAGGTCAAATGAATGGAAGCAAATGCAGGTAAGCATATCAGCTTTGACCAACTGACCACACTGAATAACTTTTAGCATATAGAAGGTCACGAATCTTTGCAAACATTATTGCAAATATACCAAATAAGCCTATTATAGTGAAGAAGGAATAATTGATAAAGATAAACTCGACTTCATTTTAACATAAAATATGACTTTTTTATGGGGTCATCCTCATCTTCGCTCTGAACAAAGCAGCCATTATACGAACACTGATGCTACCAGTTTGGGAGGTCGAAAATGAGCATTAAAACGATTATCTCATACCATACCAAATTACTAGAATTTACACATTTTAATTTGATTCAAAAAAAAATAATCAAAACTGACATCCCTGGTGATAGTCATCAGGTTTGAACCATGGATCTTTAACTTGCAACACGAACTTAGATCTCAGTAGAGTTCCCAGAATCTCAACTCCCATTCTGTATATGTGTCATGTAATGAGCTGAAACTCACAAAACTCTTTCTTATATAGAAAATGAATGAAGATATGAAGTCAAATGGTTCTCTGCTATTGCATGAATCAGCATATTTATGTCTTGTTAAGAACTCATTTATCGACTCAAATATGTCGATGTTAATGCTACATGGGAGGAATTGAAGAGTCCGTTGGAAATCATGGCTGGTTACCACCAATGACTTTGGTTGATGGTTAGTAGTGTATATACCTCAACTAATGACGTTTGTTGATTAATTCTTTATTTCAATTCATATTACCAAATACTAATGTTTTTCCAGACTTTCCAAATATTCACTACTTTTATGTTCAGTGTATAAATACTTTATATTTCAATTTCTTATTTAAAGCAATCGAAAATTTATAGCATATTAAGGTTTCTTACTGAATCTATATATTTTGGTATCAATGACAAATTTAGATTTCGAACTAATATTCATGTCTGAGATTGTTTGTAAAGTATCTGTAATATCAAAGGTTGGCAATATACTTGAGTGAAGTTTGTTTAAACAATTTTCGGTTTTTTAACACAAATTCAAAATATACCTAATGTCAGCAGATTACATTTCTATTGTAAGTGAAATGACTTTTCAATTCGAGTAATCAGTAAGTCTTGAATTGTAGTTGCGTGATAAACCTAACTCTTGTGAAGTAAAGATATTTCATTGGCTTCCATTGTATACAAATAGCAATGGAAATTAATGGAAGTTTCTCAACAAATCCCAGGATAAAATTTCTCCCAATATGATTAATTTTAATGTAATATGACAATGAAATTTTGGTAGTATTCAGGTAAAAATACTATGAAAGTCACTTGGCTAGTAACCGAACTCGTAATGGAACTAAAATATGGAAAATTAGAATCAAATTATGGCCTAACCCTAACCTGGTACACATACTAGTTCTGGTTTCCGCCACCTTGGTTCACATACTTCGGGGGTGCCGAAATTTTTACATGTTGGGTTGAATCCAATTATATCTGTGTTATTGTTTTAACTAGCACGGGTACAATTACAAATCTGTCAGGCCTCTGGATATTGTTGTAATCCCTTGTTCATAATGATGAAATACAACATCTTGAAAAATAAATATTGTACCATTCGTCATACTAAGTTTGAACATGATGGTCATGGCTTCAAACTGAATTAACCAGGGCTTGAAACCAAGAACCCTCCTATACAAACTTGAGCGACTCACGAGGTCATCACCCCCACCTCTACTGTGAACTTGTAAGAGTCTCTATTCAGATTAAGCAGACGAATTTTGATTGCTGTGTTGGGGATTAAAGCTTTTCAATGCCCTTACCATTATGCCAATGCCGCTCTAATATATTCATATTTTGAAAAAGATCAAATATCCAATTTGAAGTTCTATTTGCATATCAGGTGAAATCTGGATTGTTGGTGGATGTTGGGGATCCAACACAAAAACAGTGGAAAAGTATGATTCTCTGCGAAACCAGTGGGCAAAAATGAAGAGCAAGAATGTTGAATGTGATGGCCCTGTAGTCATCTGCATGCAAGGTATGTTTTCTACAAATCAGGTCATTTTATCGAATGCTCCAATACGTTGCCAGACAGTAAGTACAGAGTCTTTGTTTAGTTTGTTTGAGTGTTTAAAAAACATCTCCATCATTTTTCGATCAGAATGCTTGTGCAAGATATCCTAAATCTGATCTTCTGGCTTTTTAATTATTCTGTAAAATGCATTAAGAGCAAGGCGTCTAACATGTAATAAGGAGGGTATGATGTGATAATTCAATCTCCATTTAATTTAGTAGCATAGCTGTCTGAAAACATAGATTGGCGAATGCTTCATTTCTGAGAATGATATTGCGCAATATTACTTGAAATAGTCGAGTTTTAATCACAAAAAAATAAAGAATTTAATAAACATTTTTTATCAAATGTACTTAACATGCAGATGGATATATATCTCTTTTTGTTGAAAAATCCCATCGAATGACAGTTTAAAATGGATAAATTGAAGCACCGTCTGTCGACTAAATATTCTGAGTTAACTGAAAAATGAGTCAACTTAGTTAGTCAACTTCTGAGTTAACTTGGTTTAAAAATATATTTTCCAATGATTGCTGTCTAATAGAAGAACGCAAATATCAATTGGTTGTTGGAATGGCTGTTTTTTGATAAAATTAAATTTCAATGTCTGAACCTTTGGAAAGATTATATATATTATAACATTAGGATAGGATTTACATATTTATCCTGGGGGAGAGGGAGGCCGCTCATATGGCTTATTCATATGGTAAAGCATGGCCTCTTGTCCGCTTAATAGTTCATCTCGGGTTTGGGATTAGTTAGTCACATATTTGTTTTCAGATTCATGGACTTGATGGTGGAGGAAGCCGTAACCGACCAGCAATTTCGCAAACCACCCTACGATGGTGAGAAGTCCAGCAATCCTCTCGCATATTATTATTCCTACATGAGATTCGAACCTGCGAACCCACACAGGCTAATCAGAGGTGCGATGACGAGTTTATTCCTAATGCTTAGCACGTTAGTCACGTCGCAGAACATAATCACTTATAGTGAAAAAGAGCAAAGTATTTTCATTTTTTAATTTCATTATCAATGTAATTTAAGATAAATATTAAATCACGCCTGATATGAGATCGTCGGAACCATTTAACACAAGAAGTGCTGCCAAGTGATAAATATTAATTTTCCATGTGTGGATACATGGCGTCCACCTAGTTAATTTTCCCCATATTTCATATACTTAGCAACCGTAGCGAAGCCGGATTATTGCTCGATATAGTCTAACAATCCAAATTTTTTTCTTCATCAAGTGTTTTATATTAGAGTGTAAAACGGCTTTAATTTGGAGCATTCCTATAAAGTTTGTAAGATCAATAGCCAAAAATGCTGCGGTACTCAAACAAAAATTCAGTGCTTGAATACCAGAGTGCACCATGGAGTGAGAACACCAAAAGAGCACAACTGCTTCTTAAACATTCAACATGAGAGATAATTATTGTGGTTTTGGTACACTTTTTGTTAATAATTATGGTAGTTTGAAACTAACTAAAATTATTTCCATTATTTCTTGTAGCAAAAATGTTTCTGTATTCAGACAAATCTGTAGTCAAACATCAATTGAGAACTATTTATGTTCAACTACCGATGTATGTTACTTCATGAAGCTAGTATTTAAAACGAATGCTTTGTTATTGATCAAGCTTTTCATTTTGAACAGGAGGATGATATATTTCTTTGAACAAACTTTAAGAAATTACATCAGATATTACACATTTTCATTTAAAATCCCAATATTATGTGCTGCTGTTATGCTAGGAGCCAGAATTTTGCTTTTTTGCAATTGCAGGAAGCATTTATAGTTTGGGAGGAGAGGAAGGATCAAGAAAAACCAACAAAGTAGAATGCTTCAATCTAAATACGTCAACATGGAGCTTCATTTCACCAATGCTGAATGCAAGATCTGTACCTGCTGCTGTTGAATTCCAGAATCGACTTTATGTGCTTGGTGAGTTGTACAAGTTCATTCAAGTCTAGATCAGTGGTTCCCAAGCGGGGGTCCAGGGAGTCCGCGATTGAATTAAGATTTTAGGAAATTATTTGCAGTTCAATATCGTTTTTTTCTTTTTGTAATACGCTCGAAAATTTGCTGCCTATGACAATGTGGCAATAGCCTACAGAAACTATTTTGATTCATCTCTCGTAGACCTATTGTGACAAATACGAGTAAAGACATCACAATGATAAATACGAAAACGCAGTGATCATTATCCCAGTTTTGGTGAGTCATTTTGCCGTCGTACCCAAAAGTATCGATGGAAGCATTACGTGTTATTGTTCCATTCGCCTCCACTTACCTTTGTGAAAATGAATTTTCTGCTCTCGTTCCTATCAAATCCAAGGCTCGTAACCAACTAAACGTCGAAGACGATATGCGTCTATCGTTATCAAAAACACGACCACGTATTTCAAGACTTGCTTCTGATATGCAACAGCAAAAATCCCATTAAGTGTATTCGATTTGACAAAATAAATCCAAATGTCCACTAGTTTGGTGTTATTTTTGACTTGGTTGAATCTGTATGGAACATTAGGTTGCTGTTTAAGCTATAAATTAAATTCAAATAAAAAACTTTTGAGGGGTCCGCGACCACTTTGAGAGCACCAGAAGGGTCCGCAAAGACAAAAAGGTTGAAAAACCACTGGTCTAGATGACATAAAGGTCAAGCTATTTTACCAAAATGATTCAGTTCTAAAGTTTTATACTAACAGATAGAGTTGTGTTTCTTAATTTTATATGTCAAAGCACCTGATTTGATTTATCCTACCAGTGTGTGCATTAACATTTTGTATTCACTAAACAGTGACTAATGAGAGCCACAAGTAATGCTGAAATTGGACTAGTTATGGTGTAGCAAAATCTATATTTATCGAAGGAAATTTGAATACGATTGACGAAGCAGTAAAATTCTCTCAGATTTCCTCATTAAGTGGTGCAACATTATTTGCATTTTAGACAGAAAGCTTATTTTCAAATATAGCGTGGTCATGAAAAGCTTTTGTGGTCTAAGGCAGGGGTATGAAACCTTTATTACACGAGAGCTAGATATGTTTAAGTGGGTGAAGCCGTGGGCCGCACCTAGAAACTCTACCTATGAAAGGCTCTGGATACGAAAAATCTAACTTATAAAAATTATTTTTGTAAAAATATTGCTTTGGCCAATATAAGATTTTCTACATAAGAAAAGCCGAAAGCCCGAAAACTTGCAAATCGAGTGTAGTGATATTTGTTTATTGTAGGTTAATTCAATGCAGTGCTTGAGGAAGGGATGTCCAATTCGAATTTAATATTTTAATATCGCAACCTTCGAATATCGTTTTTCGCGTTTACGAGAATACGAAATATTATGCACATATGCTAACAATCCTGTTCTGATTTGAACCATTTTACAATTATTTTATTATATTTTGTCGTAACTCGAAAGCAGCTGTGTGCGACGTGGCGATAAATTATCTGTCATTAAATTGACCAATTTGTTTCCTGTGGGCATGTATAATGTGTTTCTAGCAAAATTCAGTGAGATAACGATAACAGGTAAAACAAACAGAAATTGAAATAAGAAAAAAATTGTAAACTTCATGTGTGTGTGTGCTCATTTTTATACATCACGTTATCTATCAGCTGTCAACTTTAGCTTCCTCTCGACGCGCCGCCTCCCACTCTCATACTTCGTTTAGTCTAACCTAGTTGGCCAATTCCCAAGGAAACAACTATACAGTTCATAGTTTAGTTAGTTATTCGATATTTCTTCATCTTTCCATGTGTACAGTAATCTAATTCTAACATATATTTCTTACAAGTTTTAATCATTATTATAATTCATACAAATATTATGTCTGAGTTTTGTGGGGGCTTAGAACGGACATTTACAAGTAAAACTTCATTCAAAATTGTCACTTCTCCGCGGGCCACACTAGTTTGCTTTGCGGGCCGCAGTTTGCCCACTCCTGGTCTGAGGCACAAGATTATTTATACCTTGCCATATTATGCTGTCACCCAACTTGATGACTATGAGATGATTAAAACCTGACCAAGCTTTAGATTGGTCTTCTAAATTTTAGATCGTACTTTTCAGTTTTACTCATCCAGCCCAATTCTAGTCTATCTGGCATTTGATAATTTTGCTTTACAAAAAATCATCTTATGAATTAAATTCAACTTCATTTCCTATTATATTACACAACACAAACGTGACACATGCCTTTATTTCAAAAATTGAACATATTGTACATATTCGAACATCATTTTTAGGCATATGCGCAGATGAAAATTATATTGGGATTGCTATCGAAATACACATGAATTTTATGAAATTGAAGGTTTTTTTTGAAACCTCAGACAAAGGCTTAGCAAGATTCAAACAAACTATTTAAGTCGCAAAATAATTTACAAACTCCGCAGTCACATCTGATTTTTTTTCCTTTCAATCAAATAGTTCATAGGTTTTCAAAGTGCTCCGTACGGAGCCCCAGGGCTCCACGAGAGTAACCCAGGGGCTCCGCGAACTCTTCAAAATACTGACTCGAAATTTTATAACTATTCAAAGAAGCAATAACAGCTTTGATAAAATCTGACAACAATATAGCCTCAAACCAGGCGAAATTGAAAAATGACATTATTTATAAGCAGGAGCGCAGCCAGGATTCTTAAGAGGGAGGTGGTTCAAAATTGGAATCGGAAATTTCCGCGCAACATTCTTCGCGATTATAAAAACGGACAACGAGATTTTTGGATGGATTTTTCAATCCATGACCGATGCAAGCATTTAACGTGTCTCGTCGTCATAATGTAATTGAGCTCATCGTTACTCACGTTTGGTTCGAGATTACTATTAGGATTACTAAAATGAAAGAATACTATTCTAAAATAACATAAAATATGTGATAAACTGCCAACTATAAATAAATTGGAGTCGTATTTTTGCGATCTTAGGATTTGTCAAACTTGATTCGTTCTTTCGCACTTGAGATTATTTTTAAGCAAGATATCGCCGTTTAAAAAATCGCAATATCAGGGCAAAATACGAACAATTGAAATTTATTTTATTGCATTCGGCTCCGTCGGTAGTTTCAGAATGAAAAAAGATACATCGCGGATCGCGCGCCTAATTGATTGCGTTGGTAGTTTCAGAATGAAAAAAAGGTACATCGCGCTCGTAATTGACTGTGTTTCGATTTCGCAGTTACTACGATGAAAACCTAACATAACACCAAATTTTGTGATATACAATGTCTATATAAGCGTTTTCAATCCGAGGTGAGTGTGCTGAAAACGATATGTGTGATCTTCCATTTTAAGTTTCAGTTTTTAACATTTTAGAAGGCCGTTTTTCAATCAAGAAATTTTAGTTGCGGATTTACCTCTTTATTATTTATTATTTTATCGGCGATGACTATAATATGGTAACATGTTTTTCACATTGAACTCATAATTCCCCACGAGAAAAAAAAGTAACTAACGTCGTCATTGTGTAACAATACATGTACATGCCGAGGGAAATTTTTGATTTAGGGAGAATAAACACCGGCGTAAAGATGTTTAAAGGTTCAAAAACACGCCATGCTGACGAAAAAAATCGGCGATTGTAACAAAATGGATTCGCGCACGTTATTAGCGCCTTTTAAGTCTTTCAATGTCAAAAGGGAAAAGATTCGCCCCCTAATTTAATAATATGTTGGTCAAGTGTCAAATTTACAGCTTTAGTATATATAATTTATGTTTGAAATTTAGATTCAATTATAACTTGTGTTAACCCCATTAAAAAAGGTTCAGCATTTAAAAAAGGTAAAGTACTTTTAACTTGCTCAGGAATATTAATCTGAAAGTAACAGTTTTAACATTTATTTTGGTGCTCCGCGAATTATATTCAACCTTTCAAGGGCTCCGCAACACCAAAAGTTTAAGAACCCCTGAAATAGTTGATTCAACTCCTGATATCACAATTGCATAAATATGACTCAAATTAATTTTTTAAAAATAATGTTTCTTTAGACATTTCTTCTATATGACTTGAAAAGCAATTACTGATCTGGATTTTCGCTAAAATTGAAATTGTTGGCACTTCGCAATAATTTTATTTCAAAATAAAAATACTCATGTTTTATGGAATATTTCTTCTAAATAGTGATATTTTCAAGCTCAGTGCTGATGTTCACGTGAAATATTTACCCAATTCCCCAGTCACATATGTTTTATGACATATATATCTTCTGAAGACATGCAAAAGCTAATATTTTGGATGTTTGGCTTACAAGTGAATGACTTAGCTTTGTGCTGATATTGACACACTTTTACTTCTTTGTATACAAGGTGGATATTCTGAGGGATATCTGAAAACTGTTGAAGCATACGATCCATCATCCAATTCCTGGACCATGTTTGCACCGATGATATCTGCTCGTCAACTTCCCAACAGCTTTGTTTTCAACGGGAACATTTATGCAGTTGGTGGATATGGGTATGTATAGTTATATAATTATTATATCACATTGCATTCAGTTACGCAGATACTAAATGTTCATTGTAATTACGTGATATTGGTTATAGTAAAGTTACAGTGACTCTGATGAATATTTTACTAGTTTTTTTTAATGATGTATGACTGTCTTCGACTTGTTTGAAATTTAATTTATAACTCCCATCTATAGATGGGATATGTATACATATGCGTGGCCAGGTCGCCGAAAAGAAGGATCTTGTCACGAAAGTTCCCTGATAGTGGCTTTTAAAATAATCACCCGATTACTAGACTCTAAAATTAAGTACTTATTCAAAGATGATTTATAAAGCGCTCTATATTTGAGTAGGCTTTCATGCTGAATTTATCCCCCTTAATAGGGGCATTCCTCTCAGTATTACCGGCTGGTTTAAATATATTAGGAAATCGACGACCAGTGCTGTCAAGTATGACCCTATCATGAAGGTTTGTTCGTAAATCATGACTTCCTCTGCTGTTTAATCTAATCCAACATAGGGCTCCAGTAACTCAGACCTTGCCTGAAGACCCACTCAACCTGAGCATGATGACCAGCAGATTCCATAGCACCGGTTCGAACTAACGTTGGTCAAGCAGTCAATACTCAAATCCATGATTTCATCAAAAATGCTTTATACGCCCTGTTTTCAGAATTTGTCAAATCTCGCGCCCCACCTCAAAAATACTTAAGCTAACAACAAGCTACAAATAACAGATAATAAGGCAAAAAATATTTTTTTCTAAAAATCATGTTAAAATTATTTGGGGGGAATATAAATATTAATAGAAGGAGATCAAATCTAACAAATAGTCCTATTTTGATTTAGTTTCATACCCCCTCTACGCGATTGTGGGGCACCACCCACCATTTGAGAACCACATATGGATTTGGCAATGGCAAATTAAACAGATTTGATCATTATAAAATCAGTCTTTGTCTCGAGTCTTCAAAAATTTTGAAGCCTGTAGTTATTTATAGTATTGTAGATTATGTTTGTTCTTATCTCTCTTTTAGTTCAAGAAAAACCATGGAGAAATACGATTCCGAAGAGAAAACCTGGGTGACGGTTGACATTCCTAAAGATATGAACCTTGATATTATGGAGTCAGTGAATATAAAAGCCATATGAATGTTTGTACCAACCATATTGACTTTCAAACGTTCCACAGCTCCTAATTCTTCATTTCAATCACTATCATTTTTGTATTTTGTTATTCAAATATTCTTTCTTTTGAAATTATAATTTCAACTCAGTCCTTGAATATCGCAAAAAATATTAAATTACTCTTTATGCATAGTGAGGGAGGCAAAAAGAGTCCCAAAATAAGAAAAGGGAGGAATTTAACGAAAAAGGTTGGGAACCACTGCACTAGGCTAAGGGCTACTTGGTTTGCAATATTTTACACTTGGGGCTCTATTTTTAATCACTGGGATAAATATAAAAATCCTATTTTACATTCCCTGTTTTTTTTCAATAATTCCTGATATAATGAAACCCATTATGAGTTTCTTTATTCTATGATATTTGTTTCCACTGTTTGTTAGATTTCCTATGTGTATTCTGTTCACTTCAACAATAACAATCAATCTTATTCGTGGAATTCCTCCATACTTGTATATGTAGTACATTTGGAGGAGGATTTCTAGTTCGACATGGTCTGAATTAACTTCAAGTTAAATTAAATGGGTTAGTTTGTAAAAATTGTCATATAATATTGTTCTTGTTGCGATATCATTCAGTCTAAGGTTATGATACGCCAGTTATATAGAATTTCAACATCAGTCCCATATCATCTGAATTACTTTTATGAATGCAAGTATTCTTATATACCTATAATGAAGTTATAGATACTTCACCTGAATTTTATGTTCAACCCTTGAAATAGTTGTCCTAATTAAAGTTTAATGGTTTTATTCTCAAATATGCATTTTCTGTTGAATGAGTTGTATGTTGGAGATGAATACATTTTCTAAGGCAAATCTCGTATAGACAGTCAATTTAAATTGAATTAATTTTTTTATTCGAAAATGTAACAATCAAAAAATTTTAAAGCTTTTTTATAATTCTCAAATATGCGTTTGTATTTTTTAAATGAGTTAGTGTTTCAAATTAATAATTAACAGCTGTAACATAATTAATATTATATTAATATAATAATTTAATTAATTTTATGTGTTTACTTTTGATAATCTGATGTATTTAATACTAATAAATAAAAAGTTCAAAATTCCTATCTGCGTTTGTAATGGTGTTCCTGAGTGTACTATGTCAGTACTGTATGCGCCTATATGCGCTAGTTTGGGGCCCCATTCACAAAGCTTCGTTACCGCTTAACGTGTTAGTTAGGCACCGACTTTCTCGTGAAAAGCAAAAATGGCATTCACAGAGCTTCGTAAATATTCGAGAGAATTTTTTTGGCGCCAAATGAGACGTCTCGTAAAGTGCCTTCCTCTCACATTTTACCGAGAATCGGTATTCACGAAAGTTCTTTAACGCGCTCAAGAGCTCGCTAGCTAACGAGGACAATCTTCGCCTCGTTAACAGTTCGGATTGCTCTCAGCAGTGATTCAAATTAAAATAGGCTCGTTGAGACGTTAGCATACTTTGTAAAATTTGGCATAGTATCAAAAGGCAAGCATGTAAGTAGTCGAGTGCCGTTAACTTAGCTGTGGGATATCTGCCGCATTTACAGATTAAACTAGGGTTGAGATTCAGATTGTTCAGTTGTTGAAGTCATTGTTTTTTGTTTATTCTAGAATTGGGCTACAGTATTATAAACACAGATTCACAAATGGCTACCTATATTGAAGCTTGCAGAAAAAAACCCAACAATATCTCCATGTCGTATCCGAAAGAAAAAAATCCGCTAGATGCAAGTAAAAAGACCTTAATAGAAGACCATAGACTCCGTGAAAAATCAAAAATATGGAATCTTAACAAGCTTTGGCAACTCACTGATTTTATTGTCTGTTACACAAATAGGCCTAGTTCACAATATGTAATTTGTTTTGTGGCAATAAATCTCTCTCTCTGTAACTTCAGCATTTATTTCATGTAGACTATCCGTTAGTTTATAGATTACGTCACTGCTATATGAACAAAATTTCAAAACGCAGGCTGCAAAGGTGAAGCAGAGAAAGCTTATAGGTTACCGCGAAGGCGAAACACGCTCGACCGTCAGCGGCGACAACTGATACGGCTGAGTGATCAGTCAGTGCATTTTGTTCAACTGCGACCGCGCGTAAGATTTCGAGAGAATGCTAGTGACCGTGCGTCAAGTGCTTACGAGGTCTTTGGTGAATCGCTTTGGTGAATTTGGTGAACGAGATTTTGCTATCATGATTCTGAGAGACACAGTTACGAGATCGTAAACCCGGCTTTTTACGAAGTTTAGCAAATGACGCCCCAGGTCAACAAAAGAAAGGGAGAATCTCCACTCACTGTTGCCACCTAGCGTCTGATTCAGATTTGGATATTTATTTCTATAAAAATTAAAGCACGAAAAAATGTCAAAAGTGTATAATGACAATAAAAAATGTAATTATACACATAGGAAATTATTACAATAGAGAGATTCATAGCAATCGATAAGGGGTCGCGAAGAACTCTGACCGTCATCGGGTCAGCGACACCTGGTGGCTGAAAATAAAGAGGGAATGACGAAAAAAAATTATATTTAATCACTGAAAATTAACCAAAAAACGAAACCACAAAATATCACCAGAGTAAAAGTAAACGCGACAATGCCCTCATGGGGTTTAACTGTGTGTTCATGAACCGTAACAAGAAATGCTTATTTTAATACGAATAATCAAAAATAGAAATAGAGCTCGTTGCCAGTAGCGACCAAAGCTGGTGGTAGTCACTTTAGTCGCAGCGCACTGAGGCATCTTGGTTGCGAATTGTAAGGAATTTTTCATAATATGGGAAGGAATCACGCAAAAAATAACTTGATATGGTAACAGCAGATGATTTACTGTCTAACTAGAATTCAAAGCAGTTCAGAATTTGTACGAAACATTATCCCATCACCGTACCCCTAACAGCCAGTCTGGATTTCATGGCCTTTTTCAACGAGAAATCGGCCGTGCAATCAGAAATTCCCGCATGCAAATAAGAATTCCTGGCGTGCAATTATAGCTCACGGCGTGCAAAACATCTGCGACCGCGTGCAACTGATTTCGACATTAGATGCCTCTCAATACCGGTACATCTGCGTAAAATACCCGTATCTACGTTGAATCAAAGCAAAAATGGACGATTGACAATTGACCCCAAAACATTATTTCTACAGTTTGTCACTAATTTTGAGAGTGTTTGTGCGACTTTAGACATCGGTACTGTTCAGTGCATCCTTGTAAAATTATTGTAAAAAAAATACGCTGAATCAGAGCCATAACTGGCCAGCGTCGTTGAGGGGGCAATCTTTTCGCCCATAACTTTTGTCACAGGATTCATATCATTCAACATGATATGGTCTTTTTTGCTTCACATTTTTCGATCAGGCCAAACTGTGCAAGCTAGTATTATTCGACAGTTGTGGAATTCCAATTTGTTGGCATCTTTATATTACTGGATTATTGATTTAAAAACTTTTCAAACCGATTTTCATTGGTGAGCAATTGCAAATTTTCGGCGTGCAAAATTGAATTCGCTCGCGTGCATTTTTGCGGAGCGCTAGCGCCCTCGGGCGTGCACCTGCCATGGAATCCAGTCTGGCCTAACAGGGTGTATATACTTTGGCTTGAGATGGATATTTATTTCGCATTTATTTATTCACTTGATATATTTTAATTTGCAGTTGCAATTCATTTTTTCATCTAGCTTGTTTACTTTAAATTTGATCCTTTCTCTGCACTAAACAAATATATTAATATTGAGTCACAAATTTCACCAAGTAACTGTGGCACCGCATACAGAGATGGCATTTAGATTAAGGCCCGACACTGAATCGGTTGAATATTTTATTATTTTACCCTTCACATTTTCTGTCATAATTTTTACTGTTACTACAAATGTCTTATTGAAAAGAAAACGGGCCGAGGTCTAGTTTGATTCTAACTAATCATTGGATAATTTCTGTTGAAGGCTCATTCTTTATTTTTTAAATTAAGACCGGTTGTCGACTCCAGTAATCCGATTCTCTATGATTAGCATTGTTTACAGAATCATTGTCACATACTAACGGGGATTTCCCTTTTGTTTGTTTTTGTTTACAAAGTTCACTAAGAGTTGGTTGGTTGTTGGTTACTAAGAGCCAGATTATTCAAAATAAATTTCTCGAAAGCTGTATTCGGATTCGGGAAAGTATCTCCAGCCACAACGTCAGTGACCCTCAAAGCTGAGAGTCTGCTTACCATAACGATACTGTTTTGGGATACAAAATCTAGTTTATCTGGCCAATTTCTCAAGTCCGTTTGGTGTCAATACAAGAAAACAGAGGCAAACATGAGTGATTCTCAAGAAAATACATATTTTAAAGATTGTTTTGCTGAATTTAATGAGTAAGTTGTTTTTATATCAATTTGTTAGGCTACCAGTACTGCAGTACAGTCTTGCCTGCCTGCTGAAACGGCTACCGGTATCGTACTATTTTACTCCATTTTTGTTTGCTCATTCAAATTTATCAAATAATTACTGTATTTCAAAATAATTGCTGCAATCATTACCTCAGATTCCAAGAATAGTCCCCACATCAAAGGACATTAAATTATAACAGTGAGAGCAAACTCATCTTTTACAACACAGTCCATATCAGCACAAATTGGCAAACTGGCACTGCCAAATAAACTTGAAAGAAAGTTCAAACTAAAAACGTCATCATTGGATTTCTCGAAAAAAATACCAAAAAAAAAAATTAAACGAGAGTTCTGGAATTTTTAGCTAAAAAAAAACTTTGGTCGTGGTTAACAATACGACTGAATTAAATCATTATCAAATCAACGAGACAAGCTTGCATTCTATGTTCAACACTAGGTTAAGCTAAAAACTCTTGAATGCTTTTTTAAAAAAAATTTTTTTTGGTAATTCTCCAAGGAATCTAATGATAACATTATTAGATTGCACTTCCTTTTGGTTTATTTCGCAGTGCCAGATTGCTGATAGGGAGGCCCGGACTGTCTCGTAAATGAGAGGTTTGCATTCAACTGTTATAATTGATATCTTTCAAAGTGAGGGCTATTCTCGTAGGTATTGACATACTTGGCAGCGAAATAAAATTGGTCATCAGTTAAGTGAGCCAGTTAGATTCATTTTGAATCTTGAAGTTAGAACTATTGCAAGAAAATATTTTATAAAACCAAACTTTTCGTATATTGACAATTTGACATCTATAGCATCAGGGTCAGGTCTGCTTTAGTTTCAATCCTATTTCTGTATCTCTGAGAATTAATGTGCATGATTAGTCAGAATAGTCATGCCCAATAGTAAACATTGGGTTTATTCTGTATTTTGTAAATTTTAGGTCTATATTTTCATATTATATCATTTTTAGTGTATGTATTATTCTTTTATTCTTTTCTTTCTTATCAAAATTTGTTCAATAATGTTTTCGGATAGTCGTAAACAATGAGAACTTGCATTTTTTTGTAATAAATTAGTGAATTACAATAATAGTTAAATGCAAGAAATTGATATGTAAATGAAATTTGAATTTAGGAAATAAAAAGATTTATTCATTGTTCAATTGCGTCACAATATCATTAAAATTGAGCAAAAACTGTTTGCGACTCTCGGCACAATTCCCAAAATGCAATGCTGCCGGCAAAAACCCACGAGTTTGACACCACTGCCGTATGGTAATGCAAGCTACAGTCATAGACAGCTATCAGACTACTGAGTTTCTTGTATATACTTTTCAACTTTCAGAGCATTATTGATAATAATAACGGTATAAAAAGTCGACCTTGAGCACTGCATTGAATTTAATATAAAAAACAAATAATAGTGCTCACGTTTTTCAAGTATCCGGCCTTTTGTATGTAGAAAATCTGACATTAGTCAAAGCAATGTTTTTATGAAAGGAATTTTTGAAAACTGAATTTTTGTATAGGGGCCTTTTGTAGATAGAATCCCTACTGTATATGTAGGCTTACCATACGTCCTGCTTTAGGCGGGACAGCCCCGCTTTTCAGCGTTTTGTCCCGCAGTCCCGATAAGTCAGCCAAAAGTCCCGCTTTTCCAGCATAATACACAAACATGTTCTCGTTACTGTTGTTTCTGTGTAGCGCAGCGCTAGCCTACTTACTGAAGGTGAATGCATTCGTTTCCGCTGATTCTCATTGATGGCAGACGTATCGCATGTAAAACCAATACTAATTAGTCTAAATTAGAAATATTTGTACCGGTATCGTTAACGTCAATTCCCTCCGATTTTTCGAACTGAACCCGATATTTTGACAGAGAATATGCGCATGAAAATTCGATAACAATATGGTCAATAAAAATAGCCGAGCCAGCTTTAAATGTAGGAATGTAGGCCTATGTAGTAAAATCGGAAAATGTGAAGGTATAAAATCACAGCTAAGGGGTCGTTGTCTTTCGAGGCGTCCCGATTTGAAGTCACAAAAATATGGTAACCCTATGTATATGAAACTTTATTCTTTTTGAGTTTTCATTTTCTGACTTACTGGTGTTTATTTATCTTGCAGTTTTGATATCAATCCAATATGATTGAGAAAGTTCGGTTTTTGTAAGATGAGAGAGAATTGACTAAATAACAATACAGATTTAAATAATGTCCTAGTTAAGATTGTTTTTATGTAAAATACAGTGTTCCCATTTGTCATATCACATAAACTGTATAACTATTACTAGTCTTTCTATAACCTATTTTGGTGAATATACCATACAAATTAATGATTAAATGTGCCATGCAAAGAATATTAATTTAATAAGGCTGTTTAACTGGATTGTATGGACAAATATTTATTAAGATAAAAGGGAACACTATTTTCAGGTTTTCTTTCTACTTGGTCACTGATCTGAAATTAGGTCAACATCCAAGTAAACTGCAGGTTTCAAGGTAGGATTGTCATATTCATGTCAAAGAGAGGAAAGTCAATAAGATGGCCTACATATTTGGTAATTTTTCTATAATTTGTTCTCACAATCTCTCTCTGTATAAGGCGCATCTATTTATATGTATTATACTTATAGGGAATGAGTCATTCACGGCTTCCAATGACTACTCGGTTGTATTGCATTTGTATGTTAGATTGATGGCTCCATAATCAGCATAAAAGACAATAAAAGGATTTAAAAAAAATAAATAAAAACTGAATATGAAATTAGGAGAGCAAACAAAACTTTAGATAAGGTTAGAAGTGTACAGAATTTAATCCTTATACTGTAAATTGTAAAAAAAATTAGTTTTCATTGCCTGTTATTCATTAGAATTGCTTTGATTTGAGGTAATATTTAGATAAATCTTTTTGAATATCTGAAATCAAAAAACCATGCAAATAGTTTATTAACATCCCTACTATCATGTCAGGTTTATTTCTTACTTCTGCACCTCTGAGAATCAATGAAGCATGACTAGTAAGAATGTCTTTTCAAACAAACATATCAAAACAACAAAAAGCTATTTGTATGCCATAATTTTAGGATATCAGAATCTGTTGTACCTGTGGCGTGTCCAGGAAATTCACTGCAGGAAAAATTAGCGCGAGAGCATTTTGCTGTGAAAAGTACTGTATTTCCTGCGAATAAGTCTACCCGGTAAATAAGACGAGGCCCGTTTTTTAGCCTGAAAAAATGGGTGTTCGCATATAACCTGCCAATAAGACGGGGTAGTAAATTTGGATTAACATTGACATTACCGATCTAAAATAACAGGCAATCTGTGGACATAATGATGTGAGATAAACTACCTGATTATATCCAATTTTTAAATAATAATACATATAAAGTAGGGTTACCATATCTAGAATGACAAAATCCCTGTATATATCCGGGGGAACACCTGTCCTCGGTTTTCCGTGTGAATAGAATAAACTGAACAAAATGAACGGGGCAAAATTGTTGCTAAACCCTAGCACGGAATGAAGTACAGATACAAGTAGTATCGCCAAAAGTATTTTATGGTCCGAATTGAATAATAAGGCGACACCAAAAAAATGAAAATTATCATACTCTAATAAGACGACCCCTCCAAAACCCGGCCAAAAATTTGGATCTAGAAAAGCGACTTTTCATTTTTTCGCGGAAATACAGTATTTGTGATAAAAAAGTTAGGGTTTATAGAGTTATGGTTGGCTCTAAATAACGAATTTTTTAAATAAAATGGTACTTTTAAAAACCTAACTGTTTTTCACAACTACTTGTTTTACATCAAAATGCTCTTGCGGCGATTTTTCCTATGTTGCGAAATTCCTGCGAGATTTCCTTCAATAAAAATTTCATGTGGCGAATTTTCCTAGAACCTTCTGTGGTTACCCATGACTTATTCAAAGATCAATCTTCATTATTTCTGAGCTAGTGCATATGACCTTGCTTTGTGAAAATTTATTATAAAATATATTTGGTTTCTATGCCTGTCATTCCCACATTTTTGATATCATTTTTGATAAAAGTCTTGAAGTTTGGTTGTTGTAAAGTTTAGGAAATATCAAGACTGAGATACAGGATTGAGATTGAATTTATGTGAAAACATACATTATGGCCTAACATACCCTGCTTATTGAAGCCGATTTGGTGGAAAGTACTTTACAAATTGATATTTGCTTTGCTCATAATTCCTGATTCAGTGTTCCCATTTTGTAAATCATCAAACCATATGTTTATCATGTTATATTGAAAGCTCTTGTGGTGAATGTACCTTAGAAAATATGACTTTTGTTGCTCTGTAAAGAATAATATTGAATGGTACAAAGTAGTTGAATTGTGTAGCTGGAATTTATTGTTTTACAAAGGAAATACTCTTCTTGAGATATTCAAATCTTGTAATGTAACTTTGACTAATACAAGGTTACAGGGAATTCTTTGAAATATTGCCTTGTATATGTGTTGAAATATTCAGTGTTTCCATACGCCTAGCTGATTGTATATCTACACTTCTAGAGGTTGTTTTGGTGACTAATACATTACTTATTAATAGGTTTTCTTTTTCTTTGTTCACAAAAACTGTGGAATGGTACAGTCTACTAGGATTATGCAATCAGAATTTCTATTTATTCAAAACATGAACACTATTTTCAGGACCAATTCTATTAATTTGAAACTAAAGTAACATTTTGGGAATTATTTTATTAATTTGAGAATTTCTGTTTATTTTTGATACTTTTGATCTCTAATCTGAAACTTGGGTTGATGTTTAAGTAAACTCCAGTCTTTAAGATAGGAATTTTAAATTTATTTCATGAGATGGGAATGCTCAGAGAACGGAAATATCATAAAGCAACCCATTTTATTAGTTGTTCTAGCAGTTTCAATCTGAACAAGGTGTTGGTGCATTAGGATCATTTATTCTTGGAATGATTACATTTCTGGCACTCAATGGCAA